GCATCTGCTGGGAAATTGTTAGAAGCTCAAATTCAAGCCCCTCACCGCAGCCATATGGAAGGAGAAGTTCTGAGAGTGGCCTCAGGAATCCAGGTTTTATCAAGCCTTGCAGCCCTTTTTAAAAAAATATATTTTATTTATTTTTTACAGAGAAGAAGGGAGAGAGATAAAGAGTTAGAAACATCAATGAGAGAGAAACATCGATTAGCTGCCTTCTGCACACTCCCCACTAGGGATGTACCCACAACCAAGGTACATGCCCTTGACCGGAATCGAACCCGGGACCCTTGAGTCTGCAGGCCGATGCTCCATCCACTGAGCCAAACCGGTTAGGGCAATTAATTCCCTTTTAATGTGCATGAATTTCGTGCACCGGGCTACTAGTTTTATATAAAGGTAGTTTGGTATCCATGGGGAATCCTGGAAACAGTCTTTCACAAATGGTAAGGGATGATGGTGTATTTTTATTATTTACTTATTTTTATTGATTTCAGAGAGGAAGGGAGAGGGATAGAGAGATAGAAACATCAATGATAGAGAATCATTGATCTCCTGCCTCCTTCATGCCCCCTACTGGGGGAGATTGAGCCCATAACCCAGGCATGTGCCCTTGGCCAGAATCGAACCTAGGACCCTTCAGTCTGCAGGCTGACTCTCTATCCACAGTGCCAAACCAGCTAGGGCTGACTGTGTATTTTCAAAAAGAAAGTTGAAACCATTTCTCTCTTTTTAGTTCACAATGACCTCATTTAAGTAATGTAGCAAATGTGAAAGGGGAGAAAGAAAATGGATGCTGGAGGGAGGGAACAGAATATTAATTGGTGGTTTTAGCTTGCCAGGGGCGGGACCTACATCTAGAACTGAAACTGTGAATAAGAACGCCACACCTCTTAGCCACTTCTGTGCATTTAACTTCTGTGGGAGCTTGGTTTGTTCGCTTTCAGGATGTGCTGCTCACTTCCCTTTTTGTTCACACAAAACCCTGCAAGTGTCCCAGCATAGCAGCTCCCAGAGAGTGGGGGTAAAGCATCAAGAACTGCCCTCCAGCAGCAAAATGTATATTCCTGCACACAGTGTGCACAGCGCTGGGGTTTGCAGTGGTCTTTGGGGACTTCTCTTTCAGATACTGCCTTCCAGGGCTTTCTGGGAAAACGAAATTTTTGAGTAATATCCTGGCCCCTCTGACAAAACCAGTAAGGCAGCAAGGCAGAGGGAGATGGGAGTCCAAGATGAATGCAGCCCTCCTGGTCAGACACATTTATGGGTTAACATTAAGTCTTTTAGATTTTTCCACAACCATCAAAAGCCTAAAGTTTATGACCTATTTTCTGCTCTGCCTGGCTTCCTCATGTTTCATTCCCTTAGCATGGAAGCCGGAGGTGACTGTCATTTGCTCCTATGTCAAGAAAGTCCAGGGCTTACCTTTTTATCACCCCTCCGTCTCTTCTAACCCTCCACAGCTGTGGCTTTAAACAAAGCTGTCTAGACATGCATAGGAGTGCCCTCTCAACCCTGCACCCCAGTGTGTCACTGGCTGCTCCAGCTCCAGTCTGTCCCCAACTGAACCCGAGAAGTGCCTTACAGGAGTCTAGACAGAGTCCTGAAGGAAGAGGGATCATTGCTCCTTTCACGTGCGGGAATTATTTATTGAATTGCTGACCTTGCTATCAGAAAGCAGTTAGAAATGCGGAAAGCGCTGCACAAAGTGAGTGGGCTATTCAAGGACTGAGAGACACTGGCACAGTTGTCAAAAGTTTTAGAGAAGAAAGAAAGGGAAGACAGAACTAGCCCTGGGTTGGGCCCATCACTCGATGGATGACCTCACAGCTCTCTGCAGTGTTGGTTTTATCGCAAATAAAACTGGAACGTTGGCTCCTACCACCAGATTGTTAAAAGGATGCGATTATAATGCGTTATTGGTACAAAATGAAACTGTCTTTTGGGATTGGTCATTATTGTCTTGAATTATTTTCTTGGCCCTCATTTCTGGTTCTCTTAACCAGGCCCTGAACAACTAATGAATTCAGTTTCTCTGGTCTTCTCATTCCCCTCCCAGCTCATCTGGTATCAGTGCTGAAGGCTGCCCCTCAAGTTCCACAGTAAGACCTGGGTTTTGAACCTTGGCTTTCTGTGCCTGTGGTCACTTTGAACCCTTCTTGTGAGCCTTCCTTACACCGGTTTGTGCTCAGTGCTGTGGTTGAACTGACCTTTCCACCTTGCCTGCACTCAGCCCTACATCTAAGTTTGTGTAATTGAAGCCTCCTTGCCTCCCCATCTAATAGGGCAAGTATGTCAGACTCAAAGGCTAATACAGGCCAAATAAACAAGGCATGTGGCCAGCAGGCCCCAGTTTGACATGCTTGTAATAGGGTCATTCTCTATTGTTTTGAAGAAGTTAAGAAACTAACCCAGAGGAGTGGAAAGAACTAAGGTTGTCATCCTAACTCTGCCATTTGCTAGCTTTTCCTGTTCTTATCTGTAAAATGGAATGTTATCTACCACCAGGGATCTTTTGGAGTATTAGAACAGGCCTCATCTTTAGGAATTATCTAGAACAGTGCCTGCCACATAAGTAGGTGCTCAGTAAATATCAGTGTCTTCCTTGCTATTACATGTGGTCATATACACGACAGCCAGTTAACGCGTCGTGCTGCGTCTTCCTTGTACATGAAGATGATACACTTCCCTTCCATCACATTCTGGGCTTCATGAGTTGTTTTTTCAAAAGTTGGATTTGCGCCTTAGCCCTGGGGATAGCCAACATAGGTTGTTGATTCAGCAAGTCAGCTGGGTTTTTAGACAGATAATGTGTGGCTGTGGTACAGAAACTATAGCTGGCTTGTGTGGGAATTGAACCCGTGATTCAACCCAGGCACTGCGTTTGATGACAGCAGCACCTTTGAGGCATCGGAGAGTGTACCATTGGCTTCTGAGCACTCTCACTCTCGTTTGACTCTTGCAAGAGTTCTGGGACGTAGACAGATTCTCACTCTACAGAGAAGAAAATGAGACCCCAAAAAAACAGTCATACCGGTATCACACCAGTAGTCATTGGTAGAACCCAGGACAGGAACAGGAATG